TCATTTATATAAACTAAATTTTATTCGTGTTATGATTTTTAATTGGCATATCTCACCCTAAATTTTAGCGTTCTCATAATAAAAAAAAATAATGTAAATTATATTTAAAAAAATTGTTAAAAATCAGCCATTTGACTTAAATAAGTGTTTTTACAATATAAATTTTCATGAAAATCAAATTTACAAATTTGAATATTTCGAAAAAATTCTTATCAATTTTTAAGTTTTTTATTTTCAGTATTAAAAAATGAAAATAAAAAATGTATTCTAAAAATGTAGCGCAAGTGTCATGAATTATATTTAAAAGACATTTTTTTAAAATATTGATTATAACAAGTTATTTCTTTTGTCAGATCTCCGTTGGACACCCTGCAAGGGCACCGCGAGAGGGGTGCAAGGGGGTGCAATTGCACCCATCTGGCTTTAAAAAAAAATTTTTATGGTATTGAAAAGACTTTTTTGCATAGTTATCTATTAAAAACTTTATATCTGACGAAAAAACAAAAATAACTTTGTATCGTCATATAATTTGAAAAAATATTTCTACGTATTTAACTAAAATAATTTAAACATTATTTAAAAATCAAAGTATACTATGCACGATGCATCCCCCTGCCAAAATTCCAGGTTGCGCCTATGACACCCTGTATTAGAAAATAAAAAAACATTATGAATTAGTGTGAAACTATAGATAGGTACAAGAGGTGTAGCCCTAATCCTTGGATACTTTTTTAAAGAGATGTGGTTTTTCTTTTATATTAGTTGAATTACAAAAAGTGATATACTTAATAATCTYTAACAGTACCTACAAACCATTCTTTACTTAAATGGCTATATAGTATATATTTATGTATACATTTTCTAGGCAATGMCTACATGATATTTAATTTATATTATTTTACATGACTTTTTTAGGTGTATAGTTTTCATCTATACCAACCAATTTTAACTTCTAGGTTCACACTTGTGCGATGAATGCCATTCTTCTTGTATCACAACTGAGGCACGACAACCAGACTAATAATTATTTAGTATTRATTAAATATCGGACATAATCATCACACATTATAATATTATTGATCTAAAAATTCAAAACACCTATATGAGATGATCGATTTAATGTAAGACATTCTTTCTTTTATATAACTTTGAGCCATTGCAACACAACATTTTTGGATTTGTTATACTGTATGTTTGAGTTTTTACTCATTTAAATAATAATTTACATTTTTGATTTAGCAAAATATTATTTGGAGTATTTTGATCATTAAAATCGAATTTCAGACAAGTAGTTAATTCATCTCATGAAACGGATAAACTTATGCTKTGTTGGTTGTAATATTAATTATATATAATTTTACATCACATGTACTGAATTA